CTTTGTTTGGCATGTCAACTTCTGATTTTCTTAACCACTACTTTGCACATAGAACACCATTTCGGAGAAGCAGATAAAAGATGATTTTGCTTTCACCTTTTGTGAAAATCACTTTACCCACAAGATCACACCCAAACATCCTCTAAGCGTCTCAAATTTATCTTGGTTTTATATCTTTACGCCTTAACGGTGAGTAAATGCCTATTTTACGCCCATTTAATAAGGTTAGTCAAACTCGAGATTCTACATAGGATCGATGTACAAAGTAAAGGTCGTAAATACTAAATAGTAAGATTGTGACACGGATGGTAAGATCCATATATATATATATATATATATACATATATATATATACACACACACACACATATACATACATATATAGATATATAAATACATACATATATATAAGGTTACACCCAACCCAAGGTAGTCAAACTCGAGATTCTACATGGTGTGCATTAAAAATATCAGTGATTTAAAAATGTGGGAATCACACGATAAGTTTTGTAAATAAAAAAACTTGGTAAATCACAATTGCATGATAAAATAATTCAATAATCAAATATTTAAGTCATCTCTTTGACACGGAGTCATTGATGAACAACCAAACAAATAGAGAAGAACATGGGTTACTGGTTGCTACGTGTGAAAGCATACATTTGAGCATAGAAAAAACAGTGGTATAATCATTGAGAAGAAAATAGCAGCCCATTAAAGCCAAATAAAACAGATGTATGTGGGGAAAAAAGAAAATATTCGGGTAAGAAAATAAAACTCTACAGTTCTGGGTTTTATACAGTTTAGGATTTTGTTAATCTAACAATAACCAAAGTATATTGTTTCACGAAAAGAAAATCTTGTGGATTCAATTATATAAGAAGGTGCACGTTCTGGCATGTAAAAGGTGGCCGTTTTTTGCAAATATTAGTGGCACAAGCTTCATATGCCTCGTGAAGCAAGGGGCATGCCTGACCGGGATGAGGCATGAGCTTCTCTTTGACAAGAAGAGTCAAAAAGCCTTGATTTAAATTTCTGCACTTTATTGTTTCACATATTACAGTAACTGATAACAGTTCCTACCAAACTACAGTCAACAAAAAAAACTAAGAGTCTAATACAAAACAGAAATATATAAAACGAACTCTTTACTAATTATCTGTAATTTAAAAAAAATGATACATCGAGATATGAGAAAAGTGTTTAACAAACAAATAAACTGAGAATATAAATATAATTGATGAACTAAAAAAATGTTATTGAACTAAAAAATGTAACTCACTAAAATGACTTTGTGGGACGGATGCACTATCATCACTGTTGTTGTAATTTTTGTTATTACTTCATAATACAGTATATAAGAGCACATTTGGTAACCTGATTCGGCTTATTCTACTTGTTCTACATAATAGTTAGCGTTTGACTTACTTATTTGGCAAAAATGATTCAAATAAATGTAGCTAAAAGCTTTTCATTTCGAGAAAAAAAACAGCAAATTCAGCCATTCAGCCAACTAATATTTGGCATTAGTCTATTCAACAAATAAACTCAGAGGACTTTTTGCATTATTATATGCCTAGCAAACTACTCACGATGAATAGTAACAAACCTAATAAAGAAAAACTAACATCTCAATTCTCAAGTGTGCATTGGTGTTTGTAGTGTAAGCAGTAAATGGTACTTGCATTTTAGAGTGTGGAGATGGAAATGATTACCTAAACCGCTCAGAATAGACGGAATCTCATCTCGGAAGATCTGAACTCGACGCTTGGTTGATGAAGTTGTCACTGATGAATCAATGGAAGTGATTGACTCCACTAAATTTGCCATGACTGAGTCCGTGCAGCTGAATTGGGAATCGGGGTGACTGAGACGCTCGAATCTGAAGCTTTCGGCTGAGTCAGGTGAGGTGGCTGGTGGCGCCCGTCGGCGGAATGACAAGCCGGAACGTGATACGGATGAGCTTAGCTTTTTAAGGTTAGGGTTTAAAGACCTATTTCAAACAAGCCTAATGTATTTGATTAAATTTCATAAGTTTTTTTTTTAATTTCAAAGAAAACTTATGTGTAATTCATGGTGTAAATTAACCACCAGGCAAACTGTATTAGACCCGTCTAGAAGAATTTGTTGAGCTTAGAAAGTAAAGAAGTGTGAAAAGAAAGATTGGCCGATAGGACTGTAGGTAGAATCACTTGTTATTAAGTATGTAAGAAAGTGATAGGAGTTATTACAATATGAATTCTGGAGAGATGAAATTTGAATCCCTTCATTTGAGAGTCACACAAATATTTATAAAAAGTCAAAGGGGACAAGACGCCGCACATCCTCGTCAAGAGTCAGGACGCGTTCCTCGAGGCGCGAGGTGATTGCATTTGTACCTTGGTGGGTTGTTTTATACCTTTATTCTCTTGTCATCTTGCAAGGAAGGTGACTTCCTTGGTCGCGTAACGTGTTGGACAGATTATGCGAATATCTTCAATGATCTTTCGTTGTATTCCGTCGCTACCGTCCAACCCCTTGGATCCTTTCGTGCCGACACTTCACAGCCATAAAAACCCTACCGGTTAGGTTTACGCATGATAGGTTTATGGAGATTGGAGATAATCAGAACAAGCTTCGTAATTTGACCGGTAAAAGAGTCAAAGTGTACCGGTCGGCTTTCTAACACCGACCGGTATGAACTTTTGTCATATAATTCTTATATTCTAATAATTTATCGTTTGATCAGTCAGATACTGTGGACCCAGCCGTGGACCGGTCTTGGGTGGAATACACCCATCAATAATAGTTTTAGTTTATGAGTTCTTTAAAAAATAATCTAATTTTTATATACTTGTTTTGGTTCATCGTTGGAGAGCAAATAATTACCTAATAATTTTTTTAAAAATACTTATTTTGCATGATGGGGTAAATTATCTGAACTAGACTTATTACTCTAGATCGGGTCTAGAACAAAAAGCTAGGTCACACAACTAACAACAAAAATATGAACACATGGATGTTTATATAGAAACCCAACTGAAAGAAAATAACGGGAGATATAAAATGGTGTACACACTACAAGATGGTGGCTTGAAAGTCAATGGCAAAATTCTCTTGCTATAGAGGGGAGGGAGTTGAGAGAGAAATAGTACATGGTTATATGCCTTGGAGTGCTATGCCTCCAAAATCCTTCCATGAAATTATGCATGAGTATTTATACTAGGAAATTAAGAGCTACTATAACAACCAATTTAGCTATTTAAAATGTCACGTCTACTCTACCCACGTGGGAGGTCACATCTACTATAGTCATGTCTCTGTCACCTTTTGATTGATCAATCTCTTTGGAATTTGGCAGCTGGAGCACGCTTCCTTAGGCCCTAGTGCTTGACTTCAATCATTACATCATCAGTCTCATGACCATCACTGAGCAATAAGTTATAGCTCGGGACCGTGCTAATATGTCAGAGTGTAGATCGAATGGCCCATCATCTGGGCTATAAGCTATAGCCCAGGCTACCTCCATACGCTGGCCAATTTGTTGTGCACTATTTGTGCGTTCTTTTCGTTGTGCCTTTAATAACCCATTACCCGGTCTAGAAGCCATTGCCGAGCTATATTCACTTGTGGGGTAATTCACTGTGTGCCGGATGCTCGTCCCTTGTCTCCTAGCGCACGGATGATCCTCAATGTCATTCCTTGGACTGTACGTGGTGCCTTGTCTGTGCTCCCAGGGGTCTATGGTCGAACTCTTCACGTGGTTCATGAGTTGCTTGTCGTCCACTTGATCTGTTACGTGATTGGATCATCACCTGGGCTATTAACATAGGTCGGGCTATACTGACGACTTGATCAACTTCTCCGTTGACAAGCAATTCCTAGCACGGGTCATAGATATAGACCGGAATATATCCATGACAGGCAATCTTACTTCACTCTGAGATGGCATGCATCTTGGATGGGCCACGGGGGATAACATGTCCTACTGAATAACCCATCCCCTAGGTTACGACGATGTGAGAATCGAAAAAAAGTCACCATATTACGGGAAAAGTAATTTCTAGTGTCCACTCATGAAATAATATCCAATAAATTAGTACGAAAAATTGCAATGAATATCAGAAAAATCATTCATAGTGCCGCTTTTAAAAATAACTTTATATGTAGTGCAGAAAATCTGCATTTAATTACCAAGAAATTAGTTACATTTTGGAAAAAATTTATCTTCTCGATAATTTATTTGAAAGTTTTCAAGAAACAACATTTAAAAAGATGTTGAAATTACTCATATTAGTGCTACAATGGCTTTCCTACCACCCATGAATTTTGGTCTTGGACAATGGCTTTCCTACCACCCATGAATTTTGGCCGAGCAATTTGTTTTTTGATTTTCGATCGGTATCGAAACTCTACTGTAGAGCTTCAATCTAAATGATTTTGGATTGGGTATAGTGGGGGAGGGGGGTTTCTTTGCTTTGCTCATGAAATCAGAGGACTCGAGGAGTGAGTAAGAAAATATACATTCGTCCAAAGCAAATAAAATCATTTTCTCCTTTTTGAGTTGAAAATATTTGTTCTCAAAAAAGATTTTTTACCACTCATATAACCAAAAGTAGGAAATTAAATTAAAATTTTCTTAAAATATATTTTTCTCTCAACCAAACATATTTAGGAGTTACATTTTCTTGAAAAAAAATTCAGAACAACAAGAAAAATCGTTTAGTTCCGTGCGTGGCACGGGTTAAAATGCTAGTAAAAAATAAGTTGAAGAGAACATGACCTAAGAGGGAATTTGAAATTGTGATTGAAACTACTTTCGAAATTTTACTTTGTTAAAGTGTTATTTAAGATATTTGATACTCTATTTCCAATGCTGCTTATAGCTTATGATTTCAGAAGTCTAAAATGGACTCCAGAAATATTTTTTTGGAATCTATCATAACCTTAAGCACTTTATAAACAAATACCAATGATTCTGCTGTGAGGATCACAAGCACGTTCATATACAGTATAAATTGAAAAAGACACAATATTTACTCAACTTTCTTTACAAAAACAAAGCAATCAATGATGATTCATACTACCAAATAATATATACTCAACTTTCTTTACACATATATATCATGAGAAACAATTTAAATTAATCGAGTGATGGTAAAACCATTGTCAATATGGTACTAAGGTTTATGGGGTGCATGTAATCGTTGGACCCAACCATCATCTGATCAACAATTATTCTATTAGCTTTCTCTGATGGGTGAAATGCGTCCCAAAATGCATATTCCTCTCTATTGGAACACAAGTTGGATAGCGGGGTGCAAAATCCCAACCCGTTGTACGGTCCTTGTCCACAACATGCCACCCGTGATGTCACAAATCCTACACCCGTCCCACCCAACACGAGGTTAGTCTACACATAATGCATATAAATGTATCATGATAATGGTAGATCAAACATATTAAAATTCACATCTTTTAGAAAACACAATATGAAAAACTTCGATAATCAAACAAGCAGATTTAAAAGTAAAATAAAGAGAACAAAATCTATAAATACTAAAAGGCAAGTAAAATGCATTCCTTGTCTACTCTGTTTCACTACTTCACACACACATCAAGACTTCAGACTTACAACTAAGATTCTGACCTTAAGGGGCGTTATTGAACATGTAAACATATGTCAAATATGTTGGGACTGTATGTCTGGAGTGATTTGTTTTTGGACACTTTCAAAAGGCCTCATATTATTGGAGTTAGGTGAACACGTATATATTGGTTAATTTCTTCTTCTCCATTTGGTGTGAGAATTGATTATATGTTTCTCAAGAAGATGTTCTATCACGTTGTCCATCTCTCCAATTGCTAGTGCATAAAATGAGGATACTTATAGCACATACTGTACGTAGTGCTTAATAGTTAAGGCGTATTGTAGGCTTGAATTGCATCTAGTTTTAACTCTGTGCATTTAAAAATATAAACATCGAAAAATAGGGGGAATTAAGTACTAACTGAACTTTTTTTTAATCAATGCAGGCTTGTACTAAAATGAAATCTCCAAATAAAATAGAAAAAGAATTCAAATGAGGAGTGACATTAATAATTTATTTTCCAAACACACTTACACATGTGTGGGCTTTAACACTCATGTGGATCATGACATATGTAATTCTTTTAAAATAGGGTGAGAGTGAACTTTAAACATAGGATCTTCTAACTTCTAAGCAAATAGATGATTTGAATAATCAACTTGATCTAAGGCACAACTCATATAAATTATCAAGCTCATAGAGAATGAGAGATATTTAATATTGTCTTTAATAAAGGCACAACTCAAATAAATTACTATGAATTTAATGTAGAGCAAAGGACATACCAAAAGTTTGAGGGCTGGTGATGAAATCCATGTGCATTTTATGTGCATTGGCAGCGACAAAAACATCGTATCCAATGTCATTGTTAATAGATTCAACCATTTGGACGAGCTGAGGGTTGTAAAGGGAAGCGGCGCGTTGAAGCTCTGAAGCACAATCACCATCTATGCTGTGTTGCGCCATTTCTGCTGGCGCACACCCCAAAGGACCGGTCCCTGTAACTATCACCGTTCGAGCTCCCAAATTGTATAGTCTCTAAACACATCATTCAATAATAACAAATCAAATGATAACACAATCTCAAAATCTGTTCCCACCCTCTCAAAAAAAAAAGAGAAACACTTATTCCCTCCATTCACTTTCAACGGAATTAATAATAATTTTATTTCCTATTACCAGTTAATATTCCTAATAAATACCTTAAGGACGTTCTTGTATTCAGAGATGATGAAGACGACATAATCGGGAAGGGCATATTGGCGAGATCTTGCAGAAAAGGGGACCAAAAAATAGTTGTTGACAAAGTCATTTCCGCCAAGGGAGATTAGGACAAGGGCTTCTTTTACCACCTTTGTGCCATTGTCACTCCCAACCAATGAATTCAACCTCCCTTGGTATTCTGCAAAATAGTCCAGCTGTTGGTGTATCCTTATTATATTCACCTACAAAAGAATTACTTAATTAATATGAATGATGTGTTTGGTTGGACGTAAAATAGAAAAATTTTGATTCCATTTTCCTGTGTTTGGTGACATTAGTGGAATGAAAATATTTTCCTACAAAAAAAATTAAAAATATGATTGAAAATGAAATTTTTTACCTTTGAAAAATATTTTTTGAGGAAAATATTTTACCCCAACCAAACACAAAACCTATATGTATAATGCGGTTGATGGAAAACATAACATTCTAGAATTGAAAAATCAGATCCAAATATGAAAACAGATTTACAAATTTGTGGTTGATGGATAAACTTTTATTTGATTTTGTTAATTGATTTTTGCATAAATCGTATAATACAGACATTGAATTTGGTTTTGTCAATTGATTTCGTATATGTTTTGCAGAACTAATGATTATACGAGACAGTAATACGAAATTGGAATTTGATTAACGGCGGAGCTGAGCTGAGCTTACGAATTGTATTCCGGTGTCGTCTAATATACCGACTCCGGCGGACGCAAAGTTGGCTCCCACCAGAAGCTTTTCCCCGTCGAGCTCCGGATTCAGGTATGGCAATATGGGTTCCGTCCCCAGTTTTTCACCTAAATAAATAAAAAAAAAAGAAAACCAAAATCCAAAATTAAATGCTTGAATTTAGGGAGAAAAGTCATTTTCAATTAGCTTTTACGATTTGGAAAAGAGCAATGCTATATTCACAAACAGGATACTCACAAACTACACAAACTTACTACTACTATTTATGGTTTAAATTTTCATTTTAAAATTACTTGAGACTATTTAATTTTATTTATTGAAGTTCACAATTAGTAAATTTGGAAAGTTTGTGTCCATTTTGTTTGTGAAACAAGCATTTTCCTTTGGAAAAACTTTTCAATTAGGTGTAGATTGATTCTACATACGCTAACGCTAAAGGCTATCGTCGCCCGTCAGATAATATTTTCAAAATGCTAATGTTAATCTCTAACGTTGATGCTAAACGGGACCTTAATTTTTTTAACTTGATTGGCTCAACTCTAGGGTGTATACGAATCGAATCGAAGCAATTATATCACTATTCGATCCGTATTCGATTAAAGTGATATGTATTCGAATTCGGATTCGTATATAATTCGAATTTTAAAAAAACATTCGTATTCGATTCGATAGATATTTGACATATTTGAATTCGTATTCGAATATTTGAATTCGAAAATATTAGTAGTTTTTTTTCTTAAAACAAATTTCTTAAAGACATTAAATTATTATTTTATAATAATGTAAAATGTAGTAAAAATTAAAATATAGTAAAAATATGTTAGAATATATATAAATTTATTTATAAATTATAATATTTGAATATATATAAATTTATATGTACACAAATATCTAATATATTAGAATATATATAAATTTATTTATAAATTATAATATTCAAATAATTTGAATAATAAACAAATCGAATCTATTAATATTTGTATTCGAATTCGAAAATAATTCGAATCTAAAATATGATTTGTATTCGGATTCGAATTCGAATATAGCGAATACAAATCATCTTTTTCGAATACAAATCACGAATCGAATACATTTTATTTGATTTGTATGCACCCCTACTCAACTCAAGTGTGAGAAGTGCAATATGAGATTTTGTACATTTATCGGAAGATAATAATTTAGAAACAAATAAAGTATATAGATAATATAATCTCCGTATTTTGCTCCCAAAGTCTTTTAAAAAGACACATTTACCCCTTGAACTTTCAAATTTGCACAATTAGTCTCTATACTTTTTATAAAGTGCATATTTTGTTCAAAAATTTTAAAAGTGTAACATTAGTCCTATATTTTTAACATCTTGGTTTCTATGACATTGGGAACCAATGTCATGGCATGACCTGGGGGCGCTCCGGTGCCCCGTTCGTAAAATTGACGGTTCCTACTCCTCCTATCCCCCACCCCGTCCCGACCCAAACACAACTCCCCCACCCCCTTCAATTGACCCCACAAGTCGATTTTGACTTTGAAGTCAAAATTTGACTTCAAATTCAAAATCGACTTGTGGGGTGCAATTGAAGGAGGTGGGGGGTGTTCGGGTCGGGGCGGGGTGGGGGGATATACCGGGGGGGTTAGGGAGGGTAGAAACCGTCAATTTTACGAACGGGACATCGACCCATGTCATCCCATGACATTAGTTCCCAATGTCATGAGAACCTTCCCCATTTTTTAAATTGGTACATTATTGAAATCCTAATAATTTCTTTTGGGTTTAACAACGTTTTTAACCAAATTAATATAAATAGAAAAATTAATTGGACTAGTGGTTCACATTTAAAAAGTTTCATAAAAAAATCAAAAATCACACACCTTATTAAAAGTATAGGAACTAATGATGGAATTTTAAAAGTTCAAGAGTAAAACATACAGTTTATGAAAAATGTAGGGGTTATTGATGCTTTTTTAAAAATTGGAAAAAACGTGCACTTTACAAAGAATTCGAGAGTAAATAATCCAAGAAATTGGTCTCAAAATGTTCAAATAGGAAATTAGAGGACGATGACGAGAGAGGGCTTAATGGACGGGGATGGAGATATATACTTAACTGATGAAATCGGGGATGCTAAGGCCGTTGGAGAAGCGGCCGGAGGGAAGGTGGGTGGGGTGGTCAATCCCGTAGGGCGGCGAGTCGGCGCGTGCAGTGGTGGCCAGGTAGTTGTTGTTCCCGTTGTCCACCAATGAATCTCCGAACACGAAAAACGCACGCCGCCGCCCTTCCGCCGCCACACCACCGCCGAATGCCGCCACAATGAACGAATAATAACAACAATACATCATGCATGATGGTAGCAGAACCAGCAGCCATTTCATTATTATTGTAATTGCTTTGAAGTCTATCTAGCTCGCTTGCTTTAATTTACTTTTCAGGCAAAGCATACAAAAAATCCTGATATAAGACGGTTGGACAAAAAGCTTTCCATGGAGAAAAGCACTCGATGAGTGTATATAGTCCAATATTTTAGTCTATATTCGTCCAGTTTTGACTTTTAGAATTGTTCATCTAAGCACTTTGACTCATAAAATTCTCTCAATTGTAAGCTTAAATATAGTGATCTTGTTTGATTTGTCTTAACATATAGATTATTAATACATAATTTTTATAATTTTTTAATATACAAATTACAAGATAAAATGGATTAAAGAAGTGCATTGGATGGTGTGTAAAAATGAAAGTGGACAAATATTTTGGGACGAAGGGAGTACTTATCTGGGAAAAATAATTACCTCTTTAATATATTAAGGTCTTTTTTTATTAAATTTTGTTTGTTTGCAAGTTTCGTTGATCGTTTGATAAAATAAAATATTCTTATAATATTTTGTTTTAAAAAACTTTTGATGTAGTTTTTAAATATAAAATTTCTAGTTTTTATTTTCTTTTACAATTTATAAATAAAATAATTCTAAAAAAATTGGGGTTTTGCACGTTTAATAAAAAAAATCTTGTAATTCTCTTAGGAACGTTGGGAGTATTAATTTTAAATCCAGAGTGGACCGGCCATATAATTAATTAGTAAGACAACCAGGTGAGTCCAGATTTTTAAGAAGTTAGCCCAGACATGTTGGTGGTTTAAGTCCCGGATTGATCGGTCGTCCACCGTCTGGTCCGGTCCGATTTTAATAATATGGCTATAGTTCACTGTTGCAAATTTTAAAGGGTGTAAGAAACTCCTACGATTCATTTTTTATTTCTATATATTTGTCTTTTTTGTATTTATACCACAAAAATTCTACTCCGTATAAATCTTCATTAATTCTTATTTATGAAAGCGTGAAAATGCAGTCCAATTCTAAATCAAGACTTCAAACATGTCTAATTCCAGTTATTATGAGGCCACTTCATTTCCTTTATTATTAACTCAAGAAAAGGAATATACGGAGTATGTAGTAAAATATTACTCCATATTTATATATACCGAGTAGATAGGATACATTTGAATATCACAAATAAAATTTGCACGTCAAACTTGTACACCGACAAAGAGAGACCAAACTAATGTTTGCAAAATATATGCGACGTTGAAAACATAATTTGCGTGTCGGCGTGCATGTCAATGTACAAATAAAATAGTGTAAATAAACCACCATGCTTAAATTTTGGTTTAATTTATTTTTAGGTGAGTATAACAACAACAACCCAGTTAAATCCCACAAGAGTAGGGTCTGGGGAGGGTGTGTGTACGCAGACCTTGCCCCGACTAGAAAGTAGAGAGGCTGTTTCCAAAGAGACCTCCGGCTCAACGTCGAAAGTTGCATTGCTTGACTAACTGCTACTTCATTAATTAAAGAAGCACAAATAGTTTAGATATCCATTTTGATTTATTCCATCACACCCCAAAGCCAAAAACAGGTGAAATTTTGGCTCCATCGGAGATGATGGAATGTTTATTTTTAGGTGAGTAAATATCATAAATAGATTTAAGTAAAATGTATGTCCCTAAAAACATAAGAGATTTTTATTTTTAAGGGATTTAAGTAAAATGTATTTTGCTATCGAGTTTTCAAAAATGTTTTCTGATATGATGGATAAAAGTATCATTTGATAAGTAAATTAATAGTGAATAGATGCGATGTGGTAGATAGGTTAAAAATTGGTAGAGGTAAAAGTAACCTTTTAATAGAAATAAGAAGAATTTTTTACGACAGATGAAAAAAGAAAGAAGAAATATTTTTAGGAACGGAGAGAATATTATTATATGCTTTTTCATATATAGTTCATAATTTTAGGAAATTACATTCATGGTTCTCTAAATTTGATAACTATATATTCCATTATAACTCTTCTGATCTAAATATTGTTCTCTACATATAGCAGTTAAAGGAAGTATTAAAGAAAAGTTTTCAAATATAGATGATCATGGATATTATTTCTTAAAATTGGAGACTATGTACATATATAAAACAACATATTATAAAGAACCATTTACAGAATTATAGTCAAACTATGAATAGCATTTTCAGGTGACGACATATAAAATATACTACAAATTAGTGATTTGGTGGTAATTTATTCGCAATATCTTATAAACGAATTAGTATGGTCTATCCCTACTACCATGTCCCAATTCAAAAAAAAAAGTTCCTCATTTCTTTTTCAGAATGTTCCAAAAAAGGATTTATCCTTCAATTTTTGACAAATTTTGTGTGGCCCGGCAATCTTTCTTTCTTTTCATCACTTTCAACTAGATAATATCACTTTTCTTAAATTTTGTATCAACCCTTATTGAGAGGCTTTTTTTTTTGGGATGAAGAGAGTATAACATATGGACCACAATTTGTGTTGTGTGTGAAGTAATTTTGAATTATCAACCTACACTATAGTAATGGACACAAAAGAGAAAAAAATATACTAATTCCAATTGAAAAAAAAAAAAGATTACAATGATATATCACACTTTTTATTGCTGACTTCCCAAGAATAAATATTCATACACATATATGACTACAAAACAAGATGATCGAGCAATAAGACAATAGAAAAATGAAAACAATCAAATACAAAAAAAAGAAAGAAAAAAAAGATGAATTTTTTTGGCATGCATAAATGATGATGAAAATTAGGTCCTAGAATCAAGGGCCATAACGGTGGAGAGGTTCATTGGGCTCATGTACTCGGATGTGCCGGCGAGGATCTGGTCCACGATAATCCTGTTGGCCTTTTCCGTCGGGTGAAACCCATCCCAAAATGCAAACACACTTCGGTCTGGACACAAGTTGGACACTGGCGTGCACAGCCCAATTCCGTTGAACGGGCCTTGCCCACAGCATGCTATTTGTGATGTCACAAATCCTGTTCAAACATCTCCTTCATTATTACCGAGTAATTTTTTTTTTTTTGGGTCGTTCACATTTTTTAAGACTCCTTTCATGAGAAAAAAATGCCTTAAATAACAAAATTAATGTTCCATTTTGAGTGATTAGCTACCAAATTATCACTCTTCATTTATATTATTTACTTTATTTAATATTTCCTATAATTCATTCAAGGGGTACACATAGAAAGTTATTAAGTTAATGACTCCAGTCCAGAGTTATACTTTTGAGCCCCAAAGTGAGACATGTTCTCTAACTCTCCACAAACCTCTCAGCCTCGTTGAAGTCGTAGCAAATCAACGAATTCATTGGGCCAGAGAAGCTTGGAAGCGTCAAGAGGTAGCACTCTCACTTCATGATCAAACAGAACACTCTAAGATTCTCAAATCGTCAATTACATGACACCTATGTTGGATGTTAAAAATCTCAGACCTAGATAGAAATTCAGAGGTCGGATAGAAATCCGAGGTTTGCTAGAGGTACACTAAGTTTTTATCCCAACTTACACACCAAGTATGTCATAGATAGACAATAATTGTTTGTGTGTATGTTTGCACTCACTGTGCAAGTTAGAATACAAGTTGTAATTTGCTAGGTATACCTAAGGTGGTGTTTTAACACAGATGCTAAATGTTTGTGTGCGTATGTATGTGAGAAAGTAATTTACACATTTATACCAAGTTGGGATGAACTTGGTATTTTCCGTGGAAATTAGGCATGCACTACATTTTTCAGAAACATAATAGGGAGTAGTACTAGCAGTAATACTACCTCCGTCCCAAAAAGATTTACATGTTTTGACTAAAGTTAAAATCAAGGGAGGGATAATTTTGTGTTGACTTTCCAAAAATATTCCCTGATGTGATGGATAAAAGTAGGATGTGATGTATAGATTATTAGAAAAAAGGTATGATGTGATAGGTATGATTTGAAAAAGTAAGGAATAAAAGTACTCCGGAGTAGTTTTTAATAGAAATGGGTAAGGAATTGTGAGACGCAATTTTTTTGAAACGTGTAAATCTTTTTTTGGACGAAGGGAGTATAATACATGGGTGGCCCGGAGGATGTGCAAAGTAGCCAACCAGGGCACTTAAAATTTTAGTGCCCCATATTTTTAAATTCATCATTAACTTTGAAGCATAAGTATTCTTAAATAATAAAAAGGCCCAAAATATAAATTTCAGACCAGGTCAATTTAATTTTTTCATTTTTCTAGGCAACTCTGATATAATACGGAGTACATACCATATGCAGCAGGGTTGGTGATGAAGTCAATGTTCATTTGGTAAGTGTTGGCGGCAATGAAGACATTCGAGCCCAGCTGGGCGTTGAGGTCCGCAATCATCTGGCGCAACTGCGGGTTGAACAACGCCGCCGCCCTCTGCAACTCCACCGCGCATGCCCCCGTCGGGCTCCTCTGCGCCAGCTCCGACGGCGCGCACCCTATCGGCCCGGTTCCCGTCACCAGAACCCTTCTTCCTCCCAAATCATATATCCTCTGCATTACATTTCAGTCAGATCTGGATCAAATTCAGATCTGGAATTCAAATTCAAACAGTACGGGAACGGAATTAACCTGGAGAACTTTGCGGTACTCGGAGATGAGGTACCGGACGTAATCGGGAAGAGAGAACTGGCGGGATCTGGCGGAGAAGGGGACCAGGTAGTAATTGTTCACGAAATCGTTGCCGCCTAGGGTTATGAGCACCAGAGCCTCGTTCACCAGCTGCCGAGTCCCTTCTTCTCCGACGAGTTGACTCACTCGCTGCTGGTACTGCTGGAAGTACTGCAGTTGCGTCCCTATCCTTATTATGTTCAACTGCAACCAATTTATGCCCCACATTTTCAAAATCAATTAATTAAAGTAAAATTTGCACTCAATAGGAAAAAAACATAAGTCATTTCTCAGACTTAAATTTTTTTATTTCTTAAATAAGATTTAATAATGTCTGGTGAGAAAAATACTGTTCAAGTGATGTTGGACATTTAGCTAAATAATGACTAATAGATAATGACCAATGATTCTACATTATGAAATAAAAATATATGATCATATATTAAAAAATTCATTATATTTTAGTCCTATTTAGATAAATTATTCTTAATTAAACCTTTTAAGAATACTGCTAAAAACAATCAATTTAATGAAAGAGGGTAGGAGGAATTTGGATTAAAAATAATCAATTTAATGAACGAAACATTTTAAATTTCTCAAATTAAGCAAATGTGACTCAATTTGAGAAAAATGTATTATGTTGACAAAATGCAAATTTTAGATTCTAAAAGGGCACACTTTTGTGCAGAGAGAATAAATGAAGTGTTTTGTTATACGTACAAATTGAAAGCCAGTGTCATTGAGGATCCCAACGCCGGCAGAGGCAAAGTTGGCTCCGTCTAGAAGCCTCTCTCCGGTGAGCGCCGGACTGAGGTATGGCTCCACCACCGCCAACCCCAACCGCTCGCCTTAAATAAACAAACAAACAACATTAATACTCCCTTTGTCCCATATAAATTGTCCCATTTTTATTTGTTGAAAAGTGAAATGTGTCTCATTAGAATTTATGCAGAACAAGAGTAGCATGTTCCTCACGTCCCACAAGTAACTTTCTGATTTGACTTGTACGATATTTAAAAATATTTAAAAAATAAAAATGAAAAATATGCGGTTCGACTCGGAATGTATTTCATGCGTTCATAAATAAAGTCATTTTTACGGTTTATCGTATTCGAGTCAAATTATTTTTAAATTAATTTATTCAAAATTTGGCGTATAATTTAAAAATACTCCGTATTATGTAAAATTTATACATGTAAAACTTACGTTAAAAACAAGAGGCGGTAAAATTATATTCCTTTACCAAATAAGAAGTAAAAATTGACAGAAAAAAGGTCAAAGTTTGACTTTGAAAAAATTGAAACCAGACGAATACTCTGAGACGGAGAGTACAGAGTTACATACAAATGATGTCGGGAAGGTTGAGGCCGTTGGAGAAGCGGCCGGTGGGTCGGCGGGTGGGGTAGTCGACTCCGTAGGGGGGCGAGTCGGCTCGGGCAGTGGTGGCCAAGTAATTGTTGTTCCCATTGTCAACGAGCGAGTCTCCGAAGACAATGAATGCCCGAGCCTCCGCCCCCGACCCCAAAAGCCCTACCACCACCAGGAGGGGGAGAAGAAGAAGGCCAGGAATAATAATGTCAAGAATTACTGGTCTTGGGGTGGCCATGAATATATATATATATATATATTTAATTATATATAGATACTCTGATATAGAGATTTGGTTGAAGAGGTCTCTGCAACTGAAAGAATATGGACAGATTGGTGGGTTATATAGTAAGTTAGTTAGGGCAAAGGGGGGGAGTGAAGTGAGGGAGGTGAGTATTGTGTGTGGGGGGAGGACAAGTTGGTAGCTGCGGCCGATTGGGCTGGGCAGATGGGAGTCATTATTATGGAACAAGCAGAGGCCATTTAATATTGTAATTAATTAACAAGAGTATATGTGTATATATATATTGGTTGGTCGATTCTTCTGCAAGCTGGACCACTAGCTATAGCTTGAATAATGCTTGATCAAAACCCAACAAGCCAATAAGAGGGCATGCACTTATTATTGTATAAACTACTATGTGATTCATGCATCATGATGCATTTTTACCCATCCAAATATTGAATCTATTCATGAATGTATGTCTATCATGTTTTTACTCTTGGAAAATTGGGGTTAAATTGGGTTTTAGTGATTATAATGATCAATACATTGTGTTTGGTTTGGGGTGGACGACATCTTTTCTTTGAAGGATATGTTCAAAGGGAAAATGATTTCAGATGAAAATTAATTTCCTATCATATTTTCCGTTGTTTGGTAGAAGGAAAGTATTTTCTTAAAAAATCATTTCTTTTATTAATATCTAAAAACTAAAATTCTAAGCTTACCAATTCCATATTTTAATTTCTATAACTTAAGAAAAAGAATTTGAAATCAAAAGTTCAAATATTTCGAGTCAAAATGAAATTAAGTGAATCCTGATAGAACTCTCACGCCAACTCCACCTATGGTAAGGAAAACTTCAGAGGGAACCAGCTACAAGACCGTTTGATTAGTGTTTCACCCCTATACCCAAGTCAGATGAACGATTTGCACGCCAGTATCGTTGCGGGCCTCCTACACCCTCTGAATTATTCGGTCAATTCACCTAATTTCTAAACTATAACTCTATAAGAGGTACTCATACTCATTTCTTATTTTTCGTTTATTATTTTTTTTTCCCCTTTTTTAACTCTTTTTTATCCCTTTCTTTTATTTTCCTAGAAAAGTTTTTAAAGTTTACTTTTCAATTTTTATAATGTTTTAAAAATTTCAAATTTTTTTGTGTTTGAAATAAAATTAAATAAAAAAATTAAAATAAAACTAAAAACCTTGATAAATAAAGAAACAAATAAAGAAAAAAGGGAAAACAAAAAATAAATGAAAAATAACAAATGAGCACAAGTGTCCTTATAGTTTAGAAAATCCGCATTAATATCCTCTTCTTCGCTAAAAATTTTGTTGGAAAATGATCCGATCGATGAGATATGAGTGTAATGATTTGAAACCACAGAGAGTTTAGAAATGAGTTCTAATTTGAAACAAATGGATATTAGTGCCTATTTTCCAAACCACGGGAGTACTTGTACTACTCCGTCCGTCCAAAAATTTCTTTTCCGGTTTGACTTAGCACGAAGATTAAGAAAAGTTAAAAAGTATAAAGACGTTCCATGTGTTGCCCGTGACGTGATGGAATAAAGTAAATAGTATAGAGAAAAAGTAGGGGTATAATGACACATTTATCTAAAGTTTTTTGTCAAAATAAGAAATGAGAAAGAAATTTTTGGACAACCGGGAAAGAAAAGTGAGAAAAAAATTAATGGGAAGAGAGTGCATTTGGCCCCTCTAATTAAGCTAGACCAAACATAATGACACCAAGACTTTGGACACAAAACACCGAATCAAACGCATTATTAGACCATGTTCTTTTGAGTTAGAATTTCAGTGTTATATGCTAAAAGAAATTTGAAGGTGTTGGAAGAAATTAGAAGGAGTTGAAAAAAACTGAAAGGAGTTGAACTAAAATATTAAAAAGTCACTCAACTAAATAATTATCCAAACAAGTATGTTAGAAAATTTTAATTTTGGATAAAAAAGAATCATTCATTGTTTGTGTTTGAGGTGTTATGTTACAAATTTTTTTAAGTCGTTAAAAAAATAGAAATTAGAAAGAACTGAAAGAACTTGAAAAAAAAATAATTAGAAAAACTTGAAAGTTAATTTTTTTAACCCAAAAAATTGGCTTTAATTAGGAAATCAAAATCAGGAACCCGTGTCACCGTGTGACTAGGACAAGATAAATGCTAAAAGGATGATGCGTTTGTTTAGCTTCAGCTAACGTATGTTGATTTCCTCGAGAAAAAGAAAACTAGCCTATATTGATGGTAATATGCATGATCCTATTTACAATTTTCTTTAAAAGATTGTCACATTTTGATTTTTTTTGATTCAAATGTGACACTTTTTGACCGTAAATTATTGAAAAAATATATTTAATTATCGTGTAAATTTAGTAAATTTGGGTTTACTTTAAAGTATAATTTTAAAATATCAAATTTTTATACTTATATTAAATTAGTTTAAATTATATTTAATTTGTAGTCAAAAAATACCATAGTTTGACTATGACAATTCAATCATTTAGGGCCGGAGGAAGTGAAATTATTATAAAATCATTTTTAAACTAATATGATCTCTCTATCCCAATATTTTTGCCTATTTTTCTTTTTTGGTCCTTGCTAAATTACGGAGTACTTCGTATATTTTTTGGCCATTTTGCCCCCAATTAAATTTAGATATTTTACCCACTCCTCCTCGCTCCCAAAGTCTGTATCCAAGGAAAGTCCGGCCAAAGAATCATCATTGTTCGTGTCAATAAACAAAGTACACAATAAGATCCAATCGTTGCAACTCATCTCTTTCAATAGAACTAAATATGTTTTGTTCCCTTTATGACACATAATTTAATATGATCTATCATATATGCTTCCATTAGTAACAAGTACGTATCGAATAATGACTGATTATACGAATGACTCTACGAATGTGATCATTAGCAATAAATGTCAGATAATAACTGATTATACGAATGACTTTATGAATGTGGTCATTAGCAATAAGTATTAGATCATATTTTTTCAAAAATATGACATTTTAGAATTTTCCATTGTTAAAAGTTAGACTAGATATAAGACTAGTCTTATTTAGAGAAAAAGTGATATGTTTAAACGTTCAAGGAAATTCTGTCCGTTCCGACGAATATTCCTCATTGTTTCCTGGCAATGAACGAAGTGCACAATGAGATGTGATTGTTGAAATCATCAAATATAGCATAGCTTGTCTGTCTTCAACATGACAACTACGAGTAACTTACGAATGGAATAATTTAAAACCGATCGATAATGATGGGCGTGTATCAATAATAATCCATATTATTAGACTAGAGTTGAACAAGGATGATGTATCATGTGTATATATGGTATTATGGTTGAATTGGTAGCTAGGTAGTTTTGATGTATATGTGTGTGTGTGTGTGATAATGATATTTGTGGCTTTGCGCATTAAAATAGTAATTGAGAAAAACTTGAAAAGCGTCATGATGTTGATGCCATCCATCCATACATGCATTGCCTATTTGTATCTTGCATGCATATATGATATATGCATGAGTAATATAATTAGTATATTTCATGACGCACCATTAACCTAACTAATGAAATATTTGCACTAAATAACACTAAAACTTTAATTCATTTCTCTAAATACCACTTAAATTATTTTATTCCCTAAATAGCGCTTAATGATGTCCATAATGACTAGTGACGACAAACATTTACTTGAATAATGACTAATGGATAATGTCTAAAAGTGCTACATTGGGAAAAAAACACATGTAGTGCTATTTAGGGAAAATCATTATGTTTTAGTGATATTTACATAAATTTCTCTAATTTAATTAGGTCTTTATTAGGAGACCATTTTTGCATTTATACTTATATATGCTCCGCATAATTTATGGTTCCTTTGTACTTCTAAAAGAGTTCATTATAGTTTTTATGTATTTATATGTCAATATTGTGCATTTATAATTTTTCCCGCTCTGTTTAAAATAATCCAATATGGTGCATCCTCTCCTAACTACCGGAGTATTATGTACTGTTAATGAATTTTGATAATGAATAATAACCCTCCTTAATTTTCTGTGCAGTTTTTGATAATGATCCTGACCTTTTGCCCTTAGCCGGCCCCCCTTATTTCAGTGCAATGTTTGATAATGATCTTGACCTTTTGCCCCTGAGCAATGCTATGTTCACAAACAGAATATTTACAAATTTCACAAAATTTCTATTTATGGTTTAAAATTTCATTTTAAAATCATTTTAGACCATTTAATTTTTTCATTGAAGTTCACAAATAGCAAGTTTGTGAAGTTTGTGACCATTGAGTTTGTGAACCAAGCATTTCCCTTTGCCCCTAGCCCCCCTACCCCCTCGCAATATTAGTCAAAATCAAAAGAAGACGTGAGCTACTGAGCTCCACTCCACATTCACTATCAGTTCAAGATTGTCCTGATACCTTGTTACCAGAGGTAGGCATGTTGTTTAAAAGTTCGGAGGGTGGTATTCAATTTTATCGTGTCTATGCTACTAAGGTTGGGTTTGATGTTCGTAAGACTACCACTCTAAGGTCCAATGGGTTAATCGTGTGGCAGTATGTTTTATGTAGCCATGAGGGCAAAACACATGTTGCCCCAATATCTTCCAAGGTTTATTCAACTAAGAATGCCAATTCAAAGCTATCTAGCCCCAAACAAAGACACATCTCTAACTGTATCAGGTGCAAGGCATGGGTTACATTTTGTCTTCAGGGATATCATGGGTACATTGTCACATCTTTTGAGTATTGTCATAGCCATCCTCTCACATCTATTTTTTTCGCATCCATTTTTGAAGATCAATCGATACATTGACTTAGCCTACTATTCGACTCATAACATTTAGAGCAGAATGTATTTAATTAGTCTATATCATGACCTTCGTGATGGATCTAAAGGTAGTTGCATTATGAACGATTCTTATAAATTCCCTCTAATAGAGCATTGATGAATATTGAGTCTTTGAAAGACTTAGACCTTAGAATTATGAATATGTATATTAGATTCATTTGCAATGAACCTACTATAATTAATAACTTGAATTGCCCTTATATAGACTTGGTAGCCCCTTTTAATCTATTCCAATATATAGATTCAATATCCAATTCATTTTTTTCTTATTGAAAGACAAACTCATTACTGATTATGATTCTCTTGAAGAGATGAAGCAACTCCAAGAAACTTACTCTAATTGAAAGATTACTTGTTGCATTCAACATTCATTAGTAAATTCTCCAAGAGCACATAATTCTTTCAGGGTGTATCGCGAACAAATCCTTCTAGGATATTTTCATCTTGGAAATTTGTCTGTGTATCAAATAATGTTATGCAACAACTACACGTAACCGGGTAACATTTAGATCTTGTGATTTGTCGTCATTTCGCTCTTAAATTTAGAGCCACGCACTCATACCCTTAAGATTGGAATATGGCTCATCATCTCATGCTATGAGTCATACGTCTACATCATATCCTTGGTTTTTGCAAAACAAAATCCGATTAGTGGTTGACGTACTCCGTACTTGGTTAGACTTAATTTAATTTGTTCTTGTGCTCTTTGAACAATTCAGAAACATAACACATTACATCTCTTGCATGCTCATGCTCCATTCATGAGTTTTAAAATATAAATTGTTCATCTGAATTTGAAATCAAAATTATCTTTACGAGGGGCGGAAGAGGTGTTTGTTGGATTTTTTGTATTCTAGCATTCTCGTAATAATTACTTCCTATAATGTTTTGGTCAACAGTGATAAAATTAGTTACATTTTTGCCAAATTCATATCAATATTTTTGTCCTATTATTCATACTGTAGTATTTTGATCTAACTTTGTGAAGATTAAACTCAAAATTTCAATAGAAGGCCATTTAATAAAAGATGGAATGAAGGAAGCCATGTGGAGAAATATATGTTGTGGGGTTATACTTCAGCTACCGCGAGGAGGTGCTTTTAATTAAGTTGGATCGATTTATTTACCATTGAGTATTGATTTTTGTCATATCCAAAATATTTCGAAATGTGTGTGTTTTTTTATACATCCCTTCCGTCCCAAATTGTTTACAACATTTTGAACAACGTACAAAATATCATCGATCTTTTTAAAAATAATTTTATTTACAAATTAGTAGATGATTAAAAATTAAAAATTACACTGTTCAAAAAGTAGATCAAAAGTTTTACAAAATAAGATGTCACAAGAATATTTTATTTTATCAAATTGTCAACTTAAATGAGTAAACAAACAAAAGTTATCAAGATACCGTAATAATAACTGTGACATTCTTTTTAGGACGGAGAGAGTTATTTTTCAAGAGAGAACTTTCTAGATAGAAGTAAAGAGATAGAACCTTGAGAATATAACTAAGGAATTCAAATTGTTTGGTTGTTGTACGAAACAATTTGCCAATGTACTTTAATGAGAATTGTCTCAAGAGGACACAAACACATGAAAAAATAGTTCATAAAAAATAAATTTTCATTAATTAATACTCCCCCCGTCCCATAAAGTCATTCCCATTTCAAAAAAATTGCGTCCCTTAAAGTCATTCTCATTTCTATTAAAAAACCACTCTTAGAGCACTGGAAATACTCATGAAGCCCCGGGGCTTCAAACCGGGGCTTCAAAATTTCTCTCTCTGCCACATCAGCTTTAACTTACCTCACAGATTCCGTGGAAATGGGTTTGAAGCCCCGGGGCTTCAAACAGGGGCTTCAAACCTTCATTTTTTACATTTTTAAATATACATCTTCTAAATTTAAATTATTAAATTTTAATTAATTTATTATTTAAAATAATCAAAAGGAGACTAGTGCATTAAAAAAATTACATTCAATAAAAAAATTACATTCATAAAAGAATACATTCACAAAAAAAGGTTACATTCATAAAAAAATATTACATCCATAAAAAAAACAACACTACAAAGAAATCACTAATTACTCGAACAACTAAAAATATCTTCATTCAAATCTGAGTTGTAGTAACATATTGCAAACTGAAATAATTCATTAAATAAAAAATATAGTCAATAAAAAAAAGTATGTTAAATTTAATAAAAAACAAAAAATTACATTACTAAAAAAATTTAAACCAAAAATATATAGAGTAAAAAAATTATATTTGTGTATATTTGTTTTAAAGAGAGGGTGAAAGAGGCTTTGAAGCCCGTTAAAGGTTTGAAGGAGAAGAAATGAAGCCCCTTTGAAGCCCCAAGGGGGCGGTGTTTGCTGCCCCTTTGGCGTGAAAAGGAGTAATAACGCCCCCGGCGTTACACCCATTACCAGTGCTCTTACCCCTTACTTTTTCATACCTTACATATCACATCATACCTTTTTGCTAATAATATACACATCACATCCTACTTTTATCCATCACATTAAGGGTATTTTTAGAAAGTCAACATAAAATTATCCTCCTTATTTTACCATTTTAGTCAAACTGTCCTTGTCTTTATGAGACGGAGGAAGTATTTCATTGTCATACAACAAACTTTGGAAGAAATGATTAATAAATTATATCTTCAAAACTCTAGATCAGATAAACAAGAAAATAATAATGGATTGAGCATATTGGATTGACTCGCAATATACACATTATACGGAGTAAAAAAAAGTCTAAAGTGGTTTAATGGTCAAAAAATTACGGAGTATTATTTTGTAATTTATTCTTATTGTAAAATAGGGAGTAGAATAAAACAAAAAAAATTGTTTCACCCACTTCTTCTTGCTAGACGCTAGCAGTACAAATGCAATTAATTTTTATATTAAAAAAAAGGTTAGGCGTTCTTTACAAAGACCTTGAATTGCTAGTACCAATGCATGCAATTAATTTTTATAACAAAACAAGTTAAGCATTTGTCCTTTACCAAGACCAAAGATGATCTCTCCTCCCAGGCCATCCTAACACTCTCATATAGTATGTGGCTAATAAGTCAAAGTATCAAATATGCTCATTCTCTTGTCTATTTAATTTGGGGCGGTTCTCATGACATTAGAATTCATGTCATTAGATGATACGAGGCTGCTACGGTGTCCTGTTAGTAAACTTGACGGTTTCTACTCCTCTGATCTGATTGGATTTGGTCTGATCTAATTGGATCTGAACTGATCTGATTAGGTCTAATTTGATATTATTTTAATAAAAATATGTAATAAGTAGAAAAAATAAATCCTATGAAACGGACCTTTAATGGAATAAAAGATAAAGAAATGATGTAAATAATCCGATAATTTTTCAAAAAATTGAAAGAAGAGTTTGAAATGTAAAATCTTGGATAAAGTTATTTGTACCCCAAATTTTTGTACCACATTTTGTACACTGCAGGTTTGCACCGACATTTTATGTTGGTATAAAGCTAATTTTTGTTAACGCCTAGCACTTCGTGTCCGTGTAAATTTTTGTTAACGCGCCAACACTTGTGTCGATGTAAACCATCAAAATGTTTGTGTATAACTGCGGTATACAAATGGGGTACAATTTTTTATGTAAGTGTAGCATGACCCAACTTTTGTTCTAAGAAAAAAAGATCTTTTGTCTTGTAACATCATCACTAAAATATACGGAGGTACGTTGTACTACCGAATTGGGCATCCTCATACAATCAAATCACATTAAGATGAGAAGATTGTCGGTGCACCTGTTTCACAGTCGCGTGATATGATAGTATATTAGTCATATTATTTATTAATTAGTAGTCTCTATTAATATCTTATATTTAATCTAGTTTAGGGTTTAGTTACTTTAGTATGGACCCGAGCCCATTAGGTCATTTCGTGTTACCGTATTACTCTATATATTGTAATCCTTTCCCGTTATTCTGGAATCAATAAAGAAATATCAAAACTTTAATCTCCTTCTCTATTCTCTTGGAGTTCGGAAACGCTCGAAGTTTTCCATCATTCTCTTCCTCTTCTTCTTGGAGCTTGGAGAACGCTCGAAGTTCTTCCCTACCCGATACGATATTCGTATCAATTGGTGCTTTCATTGTTGAACTCACCCTAAAAAAACCAAAAAAAAAAAATTGTCATCAGCGTTGAAGAGGAATCTCAGCTCCAACGACAAAGCCACAAATTTGTGCCATCACCGTTGTAGGTGCACGAGATTTGCCACAGCCGTTGTAATTTGGTTGTGAACAAACAAAGT